TGTAACTATTTTAAATTATTAATAAAGATATAAGCAAGGCCTCACCTTAATACCAAAAAAAAAAAAATAAATAAAAAAAATATCATATTTTAATAAAATAAAGCTCAATTATATTATATATAAATTTAATATTCACAAATTATTAAATTAATTAGCAAAAATCTACAATAAATTTCTTAAAATTTAAATAATTAAATTTGTGTAATATAAATTTGTAATACATGTCATCATTTTGCTGTGTACTAGAGTTAATCTAAATCGTTACTGCGTCACATTGGTCACCTACTTCCACGTGCTTCCGGTATCACGTTTTTCACGGTTAACGATATGAATTCTATGATTCATCACGTATTTCGCCATTTGGCAAGAATTTCTCCAACTTTGAATTGACGAAAGATGAATGACGAGACTCGTAACGAAATGGTTTCGTCATTCGTCAAGCATCATTAGACTAGACATTATAAGAATTTCACTTATTGAGGGGAGAATCAGAACAAAACACTTTTTGAGACGGTGTTAACGAGTTCTGTTTTATTGAAGGTAAAACTTGGTCGTTTATATGTTTTTCAATGACATACACTGAAGTAAATACTATTTATTCTTTTGAATCCTTTTTCCTATTATCAGTTAAATATCCTTTGAATCAATCAATTCCACAAATAAATAATGCAAATAAAATAGATTAAAGCTGTACTAGGTTGGATATATTGTAGTTTCTAACTATTACTCTAGGAGCAAATATATGGAAATTACATTATAGAATTGATCATGTTATACGAACTGCAATTTATCCGACCCCAGCATTACGAATACATGAAGTACTGAATGAAATATACTGCACCATATTATTAATAGTAAATGCATGAAATGATAAAAAATTTTTACAATAAATTGAAAAAAATTAATAGAAAAAATTTTAAAGTTTTTTTAATGTTGTTTCAATTCCCTCGAATTCTTCGGATATTCTTGATATTCTTTTTGTTGGTTCAATAGAACTACCTATTAATGGTTCAGATGAGATTAACGGATTTAAAATAATGAGATGATAAGGTATATTGAAAAGAATCTTTTAAATGAACAGGTTAAATACCTTGATTATCTGAATCTTCATTGACAACAGAGGAATTAATCGATGATAAATGATTAGATGAAGTTACTCGAGGTGTAATTTTTGGAGGAGAGAAAAGTTTAATTAATAGCATGTATCTTAACCACTCTAAGAGAGAAGGTTGCGAAACTATACTAGTATTAACTCTATTATCAATGTTGCTATTTTTATTATTAATATCTTCGTTGATAATATTATTAACAATAATATCATCATTAATAATATCACTTTTAATGATATCAGTATTATTGCAATTTGTATCATTTGATTTTACTAACGCAATGGCTTTGTTGTGAGATTTATGAGGATAATGAGACTCATAAGAGTTAACAATGGAGATCCACCATTGTAGTTTAATAGCCTGGAAAGTACGAGTAACTGCAATATCTTGTGAAAATACTAAAGCATTCAGTAATCCTAAGGTGTAATAGATAAAACCAATAATCAAAGAATGTTCAAATAATAAAGAATATAAAGATATATATAATATATATAACGTGTAAATACCTTGAAGTGATATGCCAATAAAGCAAATTAACATAAGTGGAAAAGGGATCTCATGATTAATATAAAAGCAAGTTTCAGTGATACCGCCAAAAATTTGAGCTAGCGGCAACACAGGATACCAAATAACTTTCCTGACAACAGATAAAATCATAGCCTTATTAATTAAAGGGGGGTGACTAGATGATCGAGAAGTTGAAGGAAAATCCAAAGTATCGATTTGTTTTGCCACTGAGTTGAGTTTTCCAATGACCATAATAATAACGATCGCACAATACAATATAGATGCATATATCCAACCGAAAAAAGTAACCCATTGCCATATGAAAATTGAATGTTGACCAGAATCATGATACCAACAACCACTGTAATAGACATTAATCAATATGAATATATGAAATAAATTCATCAGGCCAAAGCAAGATACAAAGTGCCAGGCACTATTAAAGTATTGGCATAAAATACCGGACATAATTTCGGGCACAACCAAAAAAATTTATAGTTATATAATAAACAAATATATACTAACGCTAGTAATGCGGTAGAATGCCCATTCCTAGTGACGCAGGGGAATTATTATGATTCCTCAACTTTAAGGAATTGACCATTGACAATTTTAATAATTCCACGATTTAGGCAGAAGGTACATTTTGATGCAAGGATTTACAGGATGTCAAAAATGCAACTTTCGCATAAATTGTGGAACTACTAAAATTGGAAATGGTTGCCAGAATTGTGGAATTACTAAAATTAGAAGTGTTTAAACAATTGTGGAAATGATTCCCCTGCATTACTAGTCGTGCCTGTACTTTTTATTGTGCATAGACACGTACCCGGTCGCAAGCCTTAGAAATAGTACGTGCGTACATTTATATATATAATAGTATTATACTATACATACCCAAGTAGTTTATCATAACCATATACATTAGCGGCAGCCGGAAGTAGAGAGAGAAAAAGAGCGAAAGAAATCGCAACCATAGAATAATAATTTCCAAAATTATGTCTTCTATATTCGTTTACGAACATTATATGAAGGTTCTAAAATTTTTTAAAAAAATAAAAATTTAAAAAGGAAATAAATATATAAACACATATAGAGAACAGAAAAATATAATTATAATACATGTCGCGACTGATGAAGAAATTTTGGTCATGATTTGAAATATAAGCACTGCAAAATTTACATGGATCAATTCTAACCCTAAACACTAACTCTACCAAATTTCAGCATCGGCCGCGACAATACTTACCAAAGCTATACAAACGATAAAAAATACTGAAGAAAGAGCAAAAAACACTTCTGCCCAAGCCTTGTATATAGAAATTAAGAAATTAAAAGAAGCTATTTGATATCAAAAAAGAAGAGAATGCTAGTAATATCTTACCAGGTATCCACACAAAAAACCGGGAGTAGCCTCCCAAACAAGTCTGAATAAAAGATGACTAGAATAGGCTATATCACAGAATAAGGCCGCAAAACTTAAACGAAATGAAACACGATTTGCGAATTTAGGATAGTATATTCTTATGAAGACAAATGTCACACATGCGGCAACAGAAGAAATGAGAGAAATGATATTCAGGGGAATACATAATTTAGATATAAGGATGATTTGATCATTTGTTAGCTTTATTGGTGTGGTAGTAGCCATTGATAGGTTTGTAGAATAATAATTGAATAATAATTTAGAAGAGATTCAATCCGATTTATATATATGTAAACTGTCACACTAATTTTGCTCTGATTCACCTTGATAAAAATTTTTCACATTTACTAAAATGCACCTTGGTGCTTTACTGCCTATATTGCATTACCTTAAAACCCAACTAATTACTTAACATATGGTGCTTATATAAAAATGCTTTATGCTCAAAAACCCTTCCACAAACCCTAATTATAACAGCCCTAACATGAAAAATTTATGCAAAATATTTTATACAAAACTTATATACGTAACGGTGCCAAGAGCATTTTATAATGAATGAATCTTATCATACCACTTTTATGGTAAAATTTGTCAAGTGACTAAAAAATTGGTTGCATATGCGAGTAAAAACAGCGTACTGTACCTCAAAATGAGTGACGATAAAGAAAACCTGTAAATCATTTCACTCATTGAGTGAAATGATTTACTCGTCACTCAAATAAATAAGTATGAAATTATTAGTTTTAAAAACAATGGCCATTAGGTTAAATTATCAGAAAATGTAATAAAATTATTTGAAATAAAATGTCATCTATTTTATCGAATTAAATTTCTGTGTTTAAATACTTTATTTTTAAATAAGCATGTACTATTTAACATGTTATTTTAATAATAATCTTACATTAATGATATGTTATTAGTTTAGATACATATTTTTTAGTAATTGTCACTTGAGATATGTCGCCTAAATAAGTTGTCGGTGAAATGATTACTGGCAAAGTAATGCAGGACTATCCTGCATATTTCTTAAAATTATAGAGTTAAATTAATAAGTAGATGTAACAAGGTTTAGGTTGTAAACTTGAAACTGGTCTTGTCTAAAATTACTGTGTATCTTAGTGTAAGTTTGCAAAATCTTGTAATTAAATCATGTAAGTTACATGTAAGTAAATCATGTAAGTAAATCATTTGTACACATTAAAAAGTAGTATTTTTTTCGTCAACTACTACATATAGAGCAGAAGAATAGATAGTATGCCATTGGCAAGTAATTGTATTGGATTTGATGATTTTGGACGGTACCAAAATTGACGGAATCCAAACACTGGTGCTAGCTCATGAGATATCAAAATTTGATCAAAGTTAAATTTTGGTGTAATATTACGAACTTAATTGCATATTTCAGAAGTTTAATTTGCTGTCCTATGTAATACATAGCATATTAGGAGTTGTTTTGATTGGTTGTTAAATACTCCGAAAAAATGTCGATCATACCCCAGATAAAGTACTGGTCATACTCAGCATAGTGGGCTTTATTATGATTGGCTGATTTTGAAGATCATCTCATCATATTAAAGTCTTATTAAAGTAACGATTTGCTGTCACAAGAATGGATCGGGTGCCACGAATACGAATCGGGTGAAGGTAAGACAAAAAAAAATTGAAAGCTTAAGCTTTACTTCATTACCGTGAAAGTAATTCGGTAGACCGCGAGGTAATTCGGAAGTCACCGTATATTACCGAAAATAAGCACCCCCTCGGAGGAATTTTTATAGCCAAATTTCTCGTGATCTAGTAATCGAATCTGCGTAATTTCGGTACCATTCGAATCAACTTATCAAAACGATTCGAATGATACCAAAATTATGCAGATTCGATTACTAGATCACGAGAAATTTGGCTATAAAAATTCCTCCGAGGGGGTGCTTATTTTCGGTAATATACGGTAGATGAGAGATATGTCTAGACGTTTCAATTTAACCAATATAACTTACAGTATGTTAAACTTGGTGAAATGACAGTAAATTCAAAAGGTTTACATCACTAATCTATTTTTTTATAACTTATTTATTATTTTAAAGACAGGCATGTACTCCCAGTAAAATAGCTTAGTGACATGAAGCAATGAAAATATAAGCTTGCGAACTTTGTGAGAAATTAAAAATAGCACTATATCTAAGAATATTAAAGTGTAGTGTTACGTTTAAGATTATTAAAATTAAGGTTAAATTCGATTTGTGTTAATTGGCTGTTATTAAATACAATTAAAATTTGTTATATGGTTTTTTTATTATCAACAACAATGTTGTCGTTGAAAAGGTATATTACGCTTTGTGTGTGACGTTATGAAGAATTAATAATCTGATATTTACTGTCTACATCCCGCGTAATTCCACGTAAGCGGGATGTAAATGGTAAATTAATTTTTTTTAATCTGTCTAACTGACTTTTAATTCTTGCATAAGCGTCACTGACGAAGCGTAATATATATATGTGGCAGCTTATAAAAATATA